AGGCCTAGCTTGTGGTCAGTGCCCAGAACTTGTTAGCTGATGTCATAGGTACTTCATCAAGCCCAGGATATTGCGTTCATGTGTATCCTTGGGTAGGTACCACCAGCATGTATTATGAAGGAGCAAAACAAAACCTACCCCAAATTCAAAGACCTGGATCCTGCTTTCAGCTCAGCTAGTGATATAGTCAAGATGATTATTTTTTCCCAGCTTCAATTTCTCAGTAAAATTTGTAAGCCAGAGAGGTTTATTGAGCTCAAGTGAGAGGGTTGATATGAAAACAAGTAAAATGTAAAGAAATACTCAAGTTATACGGAGTATATATGCTGGATTCTGAGATGGCGTCTGGATGCAGAAGATGTCTGAAGAGAAAGATGGTATTGATTTTTCAGCTCATGTTCATGATTATTTCTGTGTATAAAACTGTCAAGAGCCTTGGGAACCCATATAATTTACACAGGTCAAGGACTCTCTACACTGATGATATACTTTAAATCACAAACGGCCCTCACAGGACAGATGCTTGGGTCCCTCTCACTGGGTTTGCCAATGGTGGGACATGATATGTATTTCAAAAACATCCAATATGTTGTTCTCTAACATATATCATCCAATGTGCAGCCAGGGTTAGGAAACAATGAATTAGACTTAGGTGTATAACCTGCCAAGAAGTGCTGGACTTCAGGCCACAGGCTGTGGAATTTGGCTTAAATTTTGTTACTATCTAGGAAGGAAAATTAAGAAAAAAGGTCATTGAAGATTGCAAAAGAACTTTGAACACTTTCTCTCTCTATTTAAGACCAACTGGTTGTTCTATTCATCTAGGTCACCTGGCAGTGGTATCATAGAGATACCAGAAACAGATTCATGAATCTGTGAAATTAGCAGAATGTGGTTTGGTAGGATTCAGTTCATTTTCCTGTAAATCAACTGATACATGTTGTCTTAAAAAATGATTGCTTGTATTGAGTAGTATCTAATCTGTGGCAGAGTCTTTAAAATATTGGTTGAATAATTAAATAAATAACCACAATGACCACCCATCTTAATACTTCATACGTAATATGTAGTGGTTTTATTGTTTCCTGTACACAGAATGCCTAATATGTCATAAGTGCAAAGTTACTTGCCCTTCTGGGAAGGGGTGGGATATTTGATGCAAAGGTGCAAAAATTTAGTCCCTCAGAATATTTCCACAGAGTTGGATGTTGAAAGTGGTTAGTCTCAGAGAACATTTAAATTTTCTTAATCCCAAACTTCCTGGACATGAAGGGAAATGGGATGTATATAAGTGCTTCAGATCTTACATCATATCCACAATATTTGAACAAACAAACAAGAATGGACTGAGTATCACTGATTATAATGGCATTCATTTTCCTTTTGAACTAAGAAACCTAGTGTTATACATTTGAAAAATCCTATATGTTTCTCTGCATTTTGGAAAGCCTGATAATTTTTGTCTACCATGTCAAATTGAGAGGTTTAAGATGAAATAACAAATCACTTTAAGTGGAAATCAGACATTCAAGTTAATATGATGGAGGTAGACCAGATATCTAGATCTAAGATTTGCCTGTGAACAGAGATTACAAATGCATTCCCATTGATCTAAGATGAATATTTATAAAATTATGTTCTAAGGTGAAGATGCTATGGAAAGAAGTAAATGGTTGTGCCACTCATAGGTCTGGCTATGTGCCCAACAACAGAAACTGGTAGCTTGTGCTTATTCAGAGAGCAGTTGTGTCATGTATTATACACTACATAATTAGAAGACTAAAAAGATACACTATTTACAAATCAGAAGGTTTTACATTCTTAAGCATTCTTGTTCTCTCTATAAAATGTCTTCTTGGCCTGGAATTTCCATTTCTTCTTGGCAATAAAAGGATTGGAAGGTGTCTGATCCCTTCAAATAGGACAGATACTTTTAGGATCACCTCCACTTTACTGGTATACCAGAGCACTTTCTATGATTATCCCTCAGTGTACAAGGTTGTGGTTTTGGTAGAATGTGGTAGTTAGCATGGCCAGTATCCTCTTGGCCACCTGTGACTCAACATGCACAATATATTTCCTGGTACTTTAGCCCAATTCTTCTACATGGTAGAACTCAAGTCATCCAAACCACCACTTCCCCTTCCCATCCCACAACTATCAGATTTGGGGTCTTTCTCTTTTCAATCTCCAAAATACAAAAAAAAAAAGAAAGAAAGAAAGAAAGAAAGAAAGAAAGAAAGAAAGAAAGAAAGAAAGAAAGAAAGAAAGAAAAGAAAGGAAAAAAAGAAACCTATGTTTTGGGTGAAAGAGTTTTATTGGTGATTAGGATAATGTGCACAAATTAGAACTTTAATTTACGCAATAGTTCTGTGGCTATTGTGGCAAATTACCACAAAGTAGATGGGCTAAAACAAGAGACCTTATTTCCTCGATTTGGGGAGCAAGAGTCAAAGCTTTGACTGCAAGTTCTGAAGGAGGATTTATTCAATGCATGTTTAGCTTTTGGTAGCAATTCTTGGCATTCCTTTACTATTAGAAACACCTCTTCAATCTGTCTCTCCCGCCCCGTGGCGTTCCTCTATATCTGTATCTCTGTTCTCTTCTTATAAGGACACTAGTCCTACTCGATTGAGGACTACCCCAGTGAGCTCTGCTTGACTCTTATGTGTAAAGAATCAATTTCCAGCTAAGGGCAGATTTGTAGTTACTGAAGTTCAGGGCTTGAATCTATTTTCTCCATAATTCATTTGGTCATACTGTCACAGACTCAATATCTTTCTGCAAGTTCCCCTTCAGTTCTTAAAACTAGCCTGCTTAGCACTCAACCAAGGGAGATTCCTAAGCCCTGGAGATTTCTCTTTCCCTACACTACTTCCCACATTGAAGATCTTATCTTATGTCACTGTTATGTGAAAAGACATGTCATTAAATACATCTGCACCATGAATGCTAAACTATTTTAGCTCTCTAAATTTTATTTTTGTCTAATTAATGATTAATAGAAATTCCACCATTTGAACTGCTAATTTTAGTTTATTTTCTTGAAATTTTGCTCTTTTCATTGTGTGCTTTACATCTTTATGTTTAAGAATTATTCTTTCATATAAGCTTGCATTTACTATGTAATAATGTCAATATTTAATATTTATTTTCTACATGCTAACTATACTCTAAATACATTGTGCACACCTTCTAATCTGTTCTTTATAATATTCTCAAGTAGTTGTAATTCTCCGTATTTTACAAATGAGAAACTGAGATTGTGTAACTTAAAGAGACATTTCCCAGGCTATTGAGCTGTGAATTGCAGAAAACCATGATTCACAGCCAGCTTCAAGTTGTAGTACTTTCACTACTGTTCTGAGATGAGAATAACATATCTTAGATATAAACCAAAATTTATGTTTTTATTTATGCAAAACACAGAATTGCAAGAAGATTGAATTTGGTAATTAGATAAAAATAAGCTTTGTCCATTCTCATACCCCTCCCAACATTTCTCATTCCCAAAAAGACCTCAATTGCTTTCAAATATAATCCTAAATCAAATCAATCTCTCTCTCTCTCTCTCTCTCTCTCTCTCTCTCTCTCTCTTTCTCTCTCTCTCTCTCTCCTATATTGTCCATCCAGAGACTTATTTTTCTCTTCTCCTGTTTTTTTTCCCCTTTATAACTCACCCATTACTTCTGGTGAGAGGTCAGAGTTGCTTCTTAGCTATCTCTTTAAGCCTTCTTCTCTCTATTTCCCTCAGGCCACCATTGTCTGTAGCGGGGAAACGGCATTGTCCTCGCTGTGTCCATGGCTCTCCTTGACTACAGAAGGCTCTCTCACATTTACTCTCTCCTTGGCCTGGGACTAGCCTAGCTGCTTAGGATGCCTAGCTCCTGAGCCCCAGAGACCCGCCTATCTCTGATTCTATGATGTTAGGATTACAAATGTGCCCATACATAGGATTTTTTACATGGGTTCTGGGATATCCAACTCAGATCCTCATGCTTGCCAGGCAAGCACTTTCCTGGCTGAGCCACGCCCCCTAGTCCTCTAAAGCAGCTTTCAGCAGTGTGTTTTTCCCCTTGCTTGTGCATCTAAAGAAGAGTCTGGCCCACTGGACCTGTGCTTTGGGGTTGAGATTCTGGGCTAAAGTTCTAACTCTGTTAAGTAATGTTTATGTGATCATGGACCTGTTACCTGTTCTAAGTGTACATTGGCTTCTTGGGGTATTGTAAGAAATGGTCACAAAAAATGGGTGGCTTAAAATAACAGAAATTTATTCATTCCATTCTCGAGGCTAGAAGTCCCAAATCAAGGTGCCTGCCTGGGTATGCTTCCTCTGAAGGCTCTAGAGAAGGGTTGTTTGCTTCTTCACTCTAGAAGCTCCTCATGTTCCTTGACTCCTATTCCCTGTCTCCATCTTCACTGGGCTTCACCTGTACCTGTGTCTCCATGAGGCATGCTTGTGTGTGTCTCTGCTTTATAATAAGGACAAACAAGATGAACGTCATATTTAATTATATTTTTAGAAACTTTATTCCCAAACGAGGGCACATGTGCAGATATTGAAGGCCCCATGCACAGGTGTACAGGTATTGCAAATTAGAACTTCAATACAGCTTTTTTTTGTTTATTTTTTTATTTTTTTGGTGGCAGGAACTTATTCAAGCCAGTTTCCGGACTATGAAATGGAGATAATAATAGTTTCAGCTAGCTGTAGCTTTTGCAAGGGTTAAGTGGCAGCTATGTCCAGGGCATCCTACAGCACCTGCTTCATACCTCTGACTCAGAGTATTCACAGCCCTTTATGCCTCTCTCCACACCCTTCCTACCTTTTTTTCTTCCATGTAGATACCCCAGTTCCTGTCATGGTCATTTATTTTTGCTCATGTTTGAAACAGAAAACACACACAAAGCCATATATAACTTGATCCATGCTTCCTTTCATTAATCTAGAAGATGATTTTGAAGTGATTTGTTCAAACTAATGTATTTCCCTTTTACAGGATGTGTAGAAGGGACTCATAGTCCAATGACAGGTAAAAGACCTCTTTACACTCACCAGAACACAGTCCCCAAGTCTCCCATGAACACAGTTTCTTTCAAAGAAGAAATTCATGGAGAAGCCTGTTCTTCACTGTCACCATCCAGGGAAATGGATAAAGGCGGTTTGGTCTTTACTGCCAAAAAGGGAATGCAGAAGCCACCTAGCGGACCACCCAAGCAGGCCTGGACCAGCCCACTTCTGGAAAAGCAAGCTGCAAATAAACCTCTTGAGAGATCACACTCAGTGAATACCATTTCCTCGGAAGCTGCAGGTAGACACATACCGTGCCAGAACCATCTCTTGGGCAACTCCAAGGGGGATTCTGGTAGGTATCACATTGTGGTTTCTAACGTTTCTCATCTCAACTTTCTGGTTTTAACTACAATATAAACGAAACCACTGGTTATTGAATCAATGGTGAGCCATATTCTAGAAGTGTGACAAGAGATTTATTGGTGAGAGCTTAGGCTACTTGTTGACAAGCATTACATTTGAGGAGATATCAGGTGCATATTGATGACAAGTTATTCATAAGTCAGGTGTTGCACCAAACAGTAGCAGTGACATCATTATAGCCCCCATATGTATAAAGACTCTATGTTGAGCATTTTATTTACAAAACCAACATACAACATTTAGGCAGCTGACTTCCTACTTTACAAACAAAGAAGCTGTGAATTAATAGGGTAATATGTGTGACAATTAAATGTATCAACTTCAGCTACCATAGTAGGAAAGATTATTAAATGTAAAGAAACAGAAGATGGGGAAATCGTTCAGTGGCTAAGGCATTTGGAAGACCTGAGTGTGAATCTCTAGAACCCATGTGAGCCGGGCATATGGGCACTTGTCTGTGATCTCAGTGCTTCAAGTGTGAGAATGAGAGGCAGAGGAGACACGGGAATCCTTGGAAGCTCACCGTCCAGCAACCAGCCTGGACAGTGGTGAAAGACAAATGGGGAGGGTGTCTCCAACAGATGAGGCTGTCTGCTGACCTTCACACACATGCTGTTTTATGCACAAGTCTGTGTTCACCCATGTGTGTTTACACAAGCATGCATATGGTAGGCACACAGGTACACAGGCATATACCTGGGCACGCCACACAATACTTTTAAATGGAACATAAGAAACGGGTTTTGGAATTGAAGATCTTCGCTCAAGTCTCAGCTCTCTCCCACATCAATTCTGTGGCCATGATACAGTTGCATGGGTGTTTTGTAAGCTTGGTCTTTTCATCCGTAAATCAAGGATAATTAGTTCTATGAAGACTACTTGTACTTGGAGGGTTTATTTTAAAAAATTACCTAAATGCAGTAGAGACTGTATAATGTTGGTGGTGTTTATATCTATGTCACGTAGAAGGATTGGATTGGTGTTATGTAGCCTTCTTGAAATGGAGATTTTTTTTTTCCCGAGGAGAGGAGAGAGATTTCACTCCAAATGTTAAGACAGGTTCTGTAAGATGGTCTGCTGACACTGAGTCAGAGAATCTTTTATTTCTGAGATGTTGGACCCATGAGGAGAAGCAGATTATGTGAGTTGGCTAACACTTTTTAAAAAAACGTATGTGTGTATATGTTTGTGTGCATACAGGCACATGTGCATGCATGCATGCACGCACGCATGTGAACGTGTGTGTGTGTGTGTGTGTGTGTGTGTGTGTGTGTTTGTGTGTGTGTGCACGTGTGTGTCTGTGTCTGTGTATATGTGTGTGGAGGTCAGAGGAAAATCTCATATCTCATTCTTAGGAGTCTGCCTCCTTTTGAGACAAGGTTCATTGGTCCACATCTTCCTAATTAGATTAGGCTGGCCAGAGAATCCTGGGGACCCTCCCATCTCCACCACCCCCTAACTCTGAGATTGCAAACACCTGTTCCCACAGCAGGCATTGTCACATGGTCTCTGGGGATCTAACCCAGGTCCTCATGCCTATGAGGCAAGCGGTCTATCAACCGAGCCATCTCTCCAGCCTGGTTAACTTTTTGGGTCTTGCTCTGTATAAGGCAATGTTCCAATGTGCACATGCACCTTCAGCTCTACTCTATATGATCCTTCCACTGAGATAGAAAATGTGACTTTCTCATGCTATAGAAGCAGATTTGGAGGCCTGTTGGGGTTCTCTTTCTGTAGGGCTGAAGTCAGGATTCAAGCCTCCCACCCTGACTCCGGGTCGGAACATCCTTGTACTAACAAGTTGACAGGGAAATGGTGGTTCTTCAGCCTTAAGCACTTTCTATGTTCTCAGGGCTTAACACTTTGTTGTGGTCTCTCCTCAGACATTCAACTAGTTTATTTCTCCATAGTCAAGTCGTTAGTGAAGTATGACACATTCGGTCTTTCATAAGCTTTCTTGCTTTATTTTTCTCTTAGGATTTAGCACCAAATTAAGACGTCTAAGCTTTCTTATTTCTTGTTCATGAGTCAGCTTCCTCCTCCTTCCCCCTCCTCTCCCCACAAAGAGACTGTAGGCTGTGTAAGTGCAGAGATAACGTTCGCCTTATTCCCTTCTGTGTCCCTGATGTCTTGGATGCTGTTGGGCCCCTACCAGGTGCACGCATGATAGCCAATGAAGAAATGAAAGAACAAATTTAATTTCATCAGCAGTCAAGTGCCATGGATAGCGGAAGCTCCACGTTCCCCGTGAGAACAAAGAGATTTAGGGCAGCTGAGTTTCAGGATTGGACTCTGACGGCCTGGATTTTGTTAGACTCCACTGTCACACTAAACCTCCTGCTGGTCCAACGCATCATCATGATTACCGGAGTCCTTCAAAGGAAAGGATGTCCGTTTTTCAGCTCAAGAGAGAGGAAAACATGCTCTGCCTAGCTGCGTCCTATTATGCTGAATTCCAGAATTTCAGTAGATTCTTCATGCGCTGAATATGGACAATAATTAAATATATACTATTTATATACTGGTGCTGGAAGTCCATAATAATAGGTATTATTAGGAGCTTGCAAAGCACCGAGTTTGAAAGCCTTCACTTACTTAGACCTTTGGAAGTGTTCCATTTTTATGTCCAGGAGTAATTCTTACTTTGGATCAGTCAGATCCAGTAAGCTGCTGTTGTTTTGTTTTGTTTGTTTGACAGGTACATTGAGTGCACAGTGGAAGATCAGTAAGATCAGTACGTACTAGGCACAAAGCAATGTGGTGGGAATTCGATTTGACTCTTTAGAGATATACTGGCTGTTAGGTGACACCATGCATTCTAATTTTATGCAATTTTGAACTGGAAAATAATTCTGTGGGTTGTTTCAAATATTTTAGGAATTTCCCTGTTACTAAAAAAGCCCATTAGAGAGCTGCGGGAAATGATTTAAAGTGCGTAAATTATCATAATTTATTAGTAAAGGACTAGACTTCTAATGTGTGTATTTCAATGTGTAGAATTTCTCAAACTAAAATGGAAGACTAGATATATAAAATGTGGATAGAATATATAACACTGGAAGTGTGATTGGGGAAAGAATAAAAATTTTTACTTGATATTAATGTCAGCATGAGGGTGTGGTGTTGGGTAGACTCAGCTTCGGGGCCATCTACTTTGCGTTTTTGTTTCAGCTGGTTTTACAGTTTCTGATAAAATCCATGGCATAGCTAACTTCTGGGTTTTCTTTCAGATCATCAGCTGTCAGTCTGTGTGGGTCGTTGATCCTCGCTGGCCTATCTAGCATGATTCAATAACTTTCTCTTTACCAACTTCCCAGAGTTAGAAGCTCGTGTGCCGCGTTAGTCACCAAGTCCTTCTCTTTCTCTCGGGGGTGGGGGGGGGGTGTTTGAACAGGTTCCTTTGAAACTGTTGTTGCCAGCAAAGGACTAGTCAGCGTTTGGACTGTGTGACAACGTGGTTAGGGGGTTTTGTTTTCTCTCTCCATCCCAGCTGCAGTCGCGCGATCCTTGTCCAGGCTCGGGTTCTATTATCACTCTGCTTTGACTTCCAGGTCCCGTGTTGAGACCTTTCACCGCCATCGGCCTCTGCAGAAGTACCAGCCAGAACTCCTTTTCCCCACAGATCACCTATAAGACGTCCTTGGAACCTGAGCAGCGGAATCAAGTGGCCGCCTCGAGATCCTGGACAAGCACAGATTCCTTAAGCGTACGCGGAAGCGCAATCGGAAGGGGCTTGGCTGCAGTAACACCAGAGATGACCCCCAAACATCCTTATACTGCCAAAGAACATAGGTTAGAGACAGTTCTCGACTTCCGTGGCCGCGCAGCCAAGGAGCCACTGCCTATGCTTGTGGGCTCTCCTACCCATTTATTTTCCAGGAAGTTAATGAAGGCTTGCTCCTCAGCAGCACCGCGCCCACCCCGGCGCTCCCTTACGGCTTGCTCACAGACTCTTTCGAGGCCGGTGGTGAATGCTCACTTACACTGACTGCTGAGAAAGAATTGTTCTGCCAGTGTGGCCCATCTTCCAATCAATGCCTGCTCAGAACAACAGAAAGGGCCTCAGATGGATTGGTTTCCATAGAACCATTGTTAGGCTTTGTGAAGCATTTTTGAACCTAATAAATAATGTCAAAAGTCTCTATCGAAGCCCCAAAATGTCCTTTTTGAAGCATTTGTGATAGTATTTTTGCTCTGCCCTGTCTCCCACTGTTACAAAGAATCTGTGCTGCACAATAAGGATCGGGTGCACCGCGTGCCACTTTGCCGCTTGGCCTGCCGGGATCAGAAGGTCGGGCTTTTTGTTTTGCTGATACAGGTAAAAGGTTTTATTTGCCAGCCTCCACTTAGGGCTAAGGATAGTTTCTCAGGGCCTTCAGGATGTCTACGCAGACATTTGGAAAACATAGTCAAATGCCTGTAATTTAATAGTTAACATGAAATTTGATTACACCAGAAGGGCCTAGGGAAATTCTTCAGGCTCTATGAAGGGTTTTGTGTCAGAAACCTGAAGCCAGATCCAGATCTAGCTGGAGGCTTTGAAACACTTGGAAGTAAGTTTATTTATTTATTTTTTAAAGGAGAAGATACCAAAGTTTCTGATTTGTAATAGAAAAGTCTGGCAACTTAGGGAATGTACTATCAAACTGGCCATTCTAAATAACACATTTAAAATGTTTTGGAGTAACTTAACAGACTCACATGGCTACTTTTCATCACAATATAGTGTTTGATACTTTATCAGTGATTTAATGGGATGATATTTGTTCCTTTTAATGTTCATAGAGAAATAGGAACCAGTGTGGTTGATATCCGCCCACAGTCTTGCAGTTTCCCCACAGGCTTGGCTTTGGGAAATCAGATGCATGGAGATTATAAAGATTAACTGTATTAATATTTTCCCTTTAGTTCAATAAATATGTATGCATATATGCAGGTAAAATAAGCCTACATTTGAGACACCATACCTCATGTTCAAATTCAATTCTCAGAATTTTTTAAAAGATTTATTATTATTTTTTATAAATTTTATGTGTATGAGTGCTTGCCCACATGTATGTATCTGCACCACATGTGTGACTGTCACCCAAGGAGGTCGGAAGAAGGCATGGGATCCCTTGGAACTGGGCTTGCTGGTGTTCTGAGTTGCCATGTGGGAACTGAACTCAGGTCCTCTGCAGGAGCAGCAGATACTCTTAACTGCTGAGCCGCCTCTTCAGCACCATAAGCCTCGGAATTTCATCGGGAGTGAAGTGCTGCTGTAGGAAAAGGGGTTAGGAATCTCTTTAGTCTCCCGAAAATCATTCAATTGATAAAAATAGTATTTTTCAATGAGTAAGAAACTTTAGAAAAAAGTGACATACCCAGACTCTAAAACTTTTCTGGTTAATGAGATTTTTTTAAGGTGCAATGCTTTTCTTATTGTTCATTATTAGCATGGTTTATTATGAGAGAACGCACAGATCATATCCCAGGCATCAGGTCACCAAAGTTCATGTGACAACTGCAAGTTCAACCTCATGCCCTTTGATTGGAGAGCAGTGTGTAGATAAACTGATGGGTTTATATACAGATTCTGGGATATTTTAACATGTGATTTAATTATGAGTTAGCACACAATGTTTACAAAGCAGGAGAACATTGCCCAGAGAGATTAAAAAACAATGAACCAAAATTCATAATAGTTTCTAAAATAGAAACTGGACTTTACATGGTAGAGGGACTCCCTACCTATTGAGGTGTTTTACATGGTAGAGGGACTCCCTACCTATTGAGGTGTAAATAAGTGAATATATCTGAAGATTCAGTGCAGAAAAGGCAATTCTCTCCAGAACTGACAAAAGAGAGACAGGCAAAAGACACAAATCTGAGTATATTACAGTTAGAAGCAGTTTTCCAAATCCAGTCCATGGGATACTAGAACTAGAAAGATGTGGTGTGTCATGGGGAGTCTGTAGCTAAGTCTATGAGGGTGGCTCACTGTGATCTCTCTCTGGGGGGCAACACTAACATATTAGGCCCTAGATAAATTCAATAAACTGTTTAACTAAGTGCATATCTACTTTATTTATCAGAGACCTTTGGATTGTGCACATGTATTTTTGTTTTCAGACAGGGTTTCTCTACATAGCCTTGACTGTCCTGGAACTAACTATGTAGACCAGGCTGGCCTCTAAAGATCCCCCTGCCTCTGCCTTCTAAGTGCCAGCATTAAAGGCATACACCATCATGCATAGCATGTACATGTGTTTTTCAAATAGTATATATTAATATCTGCTAACACTAGTGTTCTGTGGAATACATATGAAACGACATTTTGGAAAATATTTCTCTAAGCATGCCAAATCCACATATATTGGTAAGGATTTCCATTCAAATAATTGGGGTAAGAATCAGAGACCACCAAGAAATCCTTCAAGAATCCATTTTAACTTGACTAGTGAATGAAGAGGTGTCTCTGGCTATTTCCTCTGTCTTTGAGTACATGTATTTGGTGTGTGGGGGGTCTTAGTTGGTCCAATTCAGAACATACTTAGTGATGGATGATAAAGCGCTTCTAATCCTGACTGGTACAGACATGAGCTTTTATGCTGAACCTGGTTCCAGAGCTTAGATACGAGGGTAAGTGTACTGAGCCATTTCCCAGTACTTTGGAAAACAGTGCTGGATTATACATTCACAATTCAATGTTAGAAAATACCTAACATGTACTCACATATCACCCAAGCAGGGAGGACAGGAGTAAGGTCTCATATACTATGGAAAATTATTTTATAGGTTCAGAATTACAGCTTGTTCTTTCTACAGGGATCTGTGATTTCATTCACAGCATTTATTACCACATACTCTAGTGTCTTAGAAACAATATAAAATTTCCTCTTTGTGGAAAAATAATGATCTGGAAACCACATTTGAAAGTACGATATTAACCCATTCTATCAGACCACCATGGTATAAAGTTAGATTTCAACAACAAAAACTACAGAAAGACTACAATCTCATGGAAATTGAATAATGCTCAACTGAATCACCAATGGGTTAAGGAAGAAATAAAGAGAGAAATTAAAGACTTCCTAGAGATCAATAAAATTAATATACCACATACCCAAACAGATGGGACACTATGAGAGCAGTGCTAAGAGGGAAATTCATAGCATTAAATGCCCACACAAAGAAGTTGGAGAAATCTCATACTAGTGACTTAACAGTACACCTGAAAGCTCTAGAACAAGAAGAAGCAAAGTCACCCAGGAAGAATAGACACCAGGAAATAATCAAATTGAGAGCTGAAATCAATAAATTAGAAACAAAGAGAACAATACAAAAATTAATGAAACAAAGAGTTGGTTCTTTGAGAAAATCAACAAGATAGACAAGCCCTTATCCAAACTAACCAAAAGGCAGAGAGAGAGAGAGAGAGAGAGAGAGAGAGAGAGAGAGAGAGCATCCAAATTAACAAAATCAGAAATGAAAAGGGAGACATAACAACTAAAACTGAGGAAACCCAGAAAATCATCAGGTCATACTTCAAAAACCTCCTCTCCACAAAACTGAAAAATCTAAAAGAAATGGATAATTTTCTGGATAGGTAAATCATACCTTGATTTAACATACCTAAGTTAAATCAAGACCAGATAAACTATTTAAATAGTTCAATAACACCCAAGGAAATAAAATCAGTCATTAAAAGTTTTCCAACCAAAAAAAAAAAAAAGACCAGGACCAGATGGTTTCAGTGCAGAATTCTACAAGATCTTCAAGAAGAGTTAATACCAATACTCTTTAAATTGTTCCACACAACAGAAACAGAAGGAACATTACCAAACTCCTTCTATGAAGCTACAATTACCCTGATTCCTAAGCCAAACAAAGATGCAACAAAGAGAACTACAGACCAATCTTCCTCATGAACATTGATGCAAAAATACTCAATAAAATACTGGCAAACAGACTCCAAGAACACATCAAAACAATTATCCACCATGATCAAGTAGGCTTCATCCCAGGGATGGAAGGGTGGTTCAACATATGAAAGTCTGTCAATGTAATACACCATATAAACAAAATGAAAGAAAAAACCACATGATCATCTCACTAGATGCTGAAAAGGCATTTGACAAAATCCAACACCCCTTCATGATAAAGGTCTTGGAGCGATCAGGAACACAGGGAACATAGCTAAACATAATAAAGGCAATTTACAACAAGCCAACAGCCAACATCAAATTAAATGGAGAGAAACTCAAAGCGATTCCACTAAAATCAGGAACAAGGCAAGGCTGTCCACTCTCCCCATACTTATTCAATATAGTACTTGAAGTTCTAGCCAGAGCAATAAGACAACATAAGGAGATCAGGGGGATACAAATTGGAAAGGAAGAAGTCAAGCTTTCGCTATTTGCAGATGACATGATAGTATATATGAGTGACCCCAAAAATTCGACCAAGGAACTGATAAAGCTTATAAACACCTTCAGTAACATAGCAGGATACAAGATCAACTCAAAAAAAAAATCAGTAGTCCTCATATACAATTGACAAACAGGGTGAGAAGGAAATCAAAGACACACCACCCTTTACAATAGCTACAAATGATATAAAATACCTTGGGGTAACCCTAACTAAGCAAGTGAAAGACCTATATGACAAGAACTTTAAGTCCCTGAAAAAAGAAATTAAAGATGTCAGAAAATGGAGAGATCTCCCATGCTCATGCATAGGCAGGATTAACATAGTAAAAATGGCAATCTTACCAAAAGCAATCTACAGATTCAATGCAATCCCCATCAAAATGTCAATACAATTCTTCACAGACCTGGAAAGAACAATACTCAATTCATATGAAAAAACAAAAAACCCAGGATAGTGAAAAGAATCCTGTATAATAAAAACAACCTCTGGAAGCATCACAATACCTGACCTCAAGTTCTATTATAGAGCTACAGTAATAAAAACAGCTTGGTACTGGCATGAAAACCGACATGTGGACCAATGGAATTGAATTGAAGACCCTGACATTAATCAGCACACCTATGAACATATAATTTTTGACAAAGAAGCCATAACTGTACATTGGAAAAAAGAAAGCATCTTCAACAAATGGTGCTGGCATAACTGGATGTCAACATGTAGAAGGCTGCAA